CTGCAAGTTTCCATTTCTTTATTCATTGATGGAGTAGTGAAAAACTCAAAATATTTTTTCTCATCATACCTATATCACCTATTTTATTATTTTCGAAGGTGTAACATTAGTAATTAGGAGTTTTTAGCTCCTGACGTAAAGAAATATTTTCGAGATTTCTCCGAAATTCAAAGACTTCATAAAAACCACTCTGTCAAAATGATTGTTTCGATTATCGGATTCCTTGGTGGAATCATGCCCGCTCTATTCCCGAAACTCAAGATCATATGGATTTGCCGCACTAAGGCAGAAATCTCAACCATACAAATGCAGAGAGCTGTCAATTTTGGCTCACATGATTCACGGACACAATGATCACTTACCTCACGGTGGAATAATTCCAAACAAGTTAGATTACGGAATTCAGGAACTCGCAAATAGTTTGTTTGACTCAAATGAGTCTAGTCTGATCGAGATATTTATATGGAAATTAGGTTATCACAGTGATCACATAACACAACACATCTTCGGTTCCGTAGATTTCATAGATTCCTTCTATATTAGGCCCAACATTACCTGTATTATACATACGAGGGTGATCTGAAAAGTTCCCGACCGCAACATAGTAGCACTCGTGAATAAAAGCTAGCTAATTTCGTTGTTTATCTATTGACAGTTACTACCCAAAGTTTCAGCCATTTTGAACGCGCATTTGTTATATTACAGTCGTTCGAGTGATATGATGTGAGTATTTTCATGAAAATGTACCAAATTGAGTATTGAGCTGTCATTAAATATTCGTTTTTGGAAGGCAATACGCCTATGCAAATCAAAAATGAGTTAATTTCTGAGTATGGCGACTCTGCACTCTCATTTATTGCAGTGGCATTCTGGACAGTTGTATTTAAACTTGGCCGTAAGAGCTTGGAAGATGATGAACGTTTCCGACGTTCTAAAACTGCAACTACCGACGAAAACATCACCAAAGTTCACCAAATGGTGCCAGATGACCGCCGAATTGAAGTGAAAAAGACATAAGAGGTTATGAATATGCCAAAAAAAGTGTTTGTCACATATGAAATCAACATTTAGGCATGAGATAGTTGGCCACTCGTTGGGTGCCGCCGTTGTTCACGTTAGACCAGCATGTTCGAAAAAACATTTCCAACGCTCTGTTGGAGCAATTGAGGCGCAATAAATCCGAGTTTTGTTGACCATCAATATAATGAAAGTAATATCTGACTAGTTTTCAGCGGATGAGCTGAAAACTAGTCAGCATGTATGTTATTTCAATTAAATACTTATTTGTTCGCACAAAAAATTCCAAGGACAAACAAGAAAAATCAAAAAGGGTGAAGTAACAAAAATAGAGTATGAGAAAAGCAGAACTGAAAAGTAAAATAACAGTAGAAGAAGAAACGTTACTGAAGCAGTTGAAGCAAATTGATAAGTAAAGGAAAAGTATACAAGATAAGGATTTGAGAATGATTCAGAATTTAGAGAGAACGAATGAATATTTCAGTAACAAATAACCAAAAAGTTCCATATGAGTTTGAAAAGTTGAACATAAAATAATCAAATGAATTTCGGTTTATCAAATTAAAACACGCTTCGAAAATCCGAAATAACTAATCCATGAAGTGCTAACTCTGTATAACGTATTCTGAACAACATAAGTCGAAAAATATACTAAAGGCGAGGCGGTTAATCCATTTCCAAATTCGACTGACACAAATTGGATGTCGGAACGGTAATAAACACTCCCAAGAGTCGGTTTGTAAACCGATCTCGATCCGAATGTGAAACCCCGAACAGTAAAACTCGATCGTTCGCAGTGAAGTCTATCGAGAACTCATTTTTCCATTTCATCCACTCATATTCTAGCGGGAATACGGAAAATCCACCTGAATTTTCCGTCGAATACATCAAACATAATAAAATATACAACGCATTCTCTGTTTAATTTCCTTCTGTTGGGATATTTTCAATTCCATCGAAATTAAATCTGATAAGCGTTGCCAACAATAAATCAACAGATATTTCGAGTGGAGCTTATATAGAATGCATTTTCCATGTATTTCACATAAAACATTGATTTAAAGCGGGCACATTCATATTTACAGCTTGATGTCGACCATAAATCTGTCGTTTAGGTCATACGATGTGGCGGCAGTGCGAAGTCGTATATTAAAGATTTCAGCAAACAGGAAGTGGAAGATATTCTTCTCGAGTATTTGCTTGCGAAATATGATTTGTGGAACAGACAAAGAAGATGAACGCTAGTCGATATTGGTTCAAAAACGGATTTATTTCACTGTTTATTCGAATGCTTTTCAGCCAATATTGAATTACACAAATGGACTATACCATCTGAAGTTGAATATACTAGTCACAATGGAGTTTGATATGTGTTTTTTTTTCTGACGATTGCTTACTAGAGCATATTCATTATATAGAATCTTCCAATAGGGACTTTGAAAATTGATAAATACCATCATGTTGAGCCACTCTGTGGCTCTGCAGATGTAGCAGATGTAGACCTCTGACTTTATGTCTCCAACTGTCAACTACGAACTGCCTTATAAAGTACTGTTCCTGAGTAGTAAGGACTGGATATATCAAGAGCAGATAGTGTTTGGTTCACAGATGGATCAAAAACACCTTCCGGTTCTGGTGCAGGTGTTTTCAGTCGCACATAGGAAGACTTAACAGATTGTCTCTGGTCTGGATAGCAATGAAGCTGCTGACTCTCTTACAAAGGAGGGTGCTGCAAGCGGCTTTATCAGACCAGAACCTCTCATTGGCATCGCTTTGGGCTTTACCAAACAAATATTGAACACCTGGATGGAAAGAAGATTTATGGACTTCTGGCAGAATCTTCCAGGATTGGCTCCCTCCAAGGCGTTTATTCACCCTTCGAAGCTTGATACCAAACAGTTGTTGGTATCAGTACAGTACAGTACAGTAGGGATGAACTACGATGTCTAACAGGCCTTCTTACTGGTCACTGTCATTTGAATCATCATATGCAGAGACGTGTACAGTCGGAAGACAGTTTGTGTCGCCTCTGTTTGGAAAAAGATGAAATATCAGAGCATATACTTTGTGCCTGCCCCGCTGGGGACCGAATCAGATTCTTAGAGTCCGGCAGATCCGTACTCTTACCATCTGACCTAAAGGACCACTCACCATACAAACTAATCGGCATCGTCAAGAAGCTGGGTTCATTTGGCCGAGTGTGAATAGGTGTGAGTCACAATAAACCCTTGCGGGTTGCGGTAGAGGGTCAAATAGACTCACTCACTTTAGACCTAACCTAACCTTACCGATATTCAAAGAAATGAAAAATGTCGATGATATTCTCACATAAACTTTGTTTTATTTCAAGTAAAAGATAAGCAGCGCCAAGTAAAAGATAGGCAGCGCCTAATAATATAAACGGTGTTAGTCATGACTTCAGCCATGGTGTTGCAATATTGTGAATTTGATTGAATTGAAAAGTAATCGATAGTGATTTTTGCTGACGTGTAGACGAGTCACATATTTTTATTTTTTGTTTCCTGATAATTTTGGATTCAAACTGAAAGTTTCGAGTTTACACTCAAAATTGTGTGTAGTTTTCGTTCTGATTTTATGGAAAAATATATATTTCTCAATACTTAAATAACGTGTCCCAAATAACTCATTTGCTTAAATATGATCCAACCATCTGGAAGGATCATTACCATTATAAGCCGTCAGTCTTTCTGTGAGTCATCAGTGTTTTTCTTCTTGCTGTTAACTAGATAGATAGACCATTTAATTTATCTTATTGGTCACCAAATACAGGTCATTTCATCTCCTGTCCAATTTCGAACAAAATCCTTTGTCACTTTCTTGTCTATCTGGGTGTCCATCTGGTCGCTGGCACTCTGTCGCTCCTTGATTTCTTCAAAGAGTTCGGTGTGTTTTTCCTAGGTGTCATAATCTAATGGTGAGCTGAATAGTAGGTCTGACGCTTATTCTATTTTTCTTTCAGTTGTAGATGGAGGGAATCCTGTTGCTTGGTGAAGTGCGCTTGTATATGTTGAAAGGAATATCAGAACCAGTTTTTTTCAATATTGTACTGGTGATTGCTGTATGATTGTTCAAATATGCCATTCTACTATTTCGTTTGACTGTCGGCGATTTTGTGAAGGTCTTCTCGATTTTCAATACTTACATCAACTTCTACCATAGTTCTTACTCAAAATTTCGCCCCTGATCACTGTGTAGCTATGTGCAAGCACGTTGTTGACGAACGCCTCCTTGTTAGTTGGATAGAAACAATCATAGGCATCTCATAGCTCCAGAGACAATGCATACAATAATTTTGATTCACAAAACAAGGCACAGCTCGGAAAAACTAAAAATAATAGAAATAAGGTGGGTCAAATGTTTGAAAAACACAATAATAGAAACTATGAACAGAGCATTGACAATTGTAAAGGGGGCATCAACGAAATGTGGAGAGCTGTAAAAGACTTGAAGATCATGCTTCAAGATGGTTTGATACTTGGGTTCCACGAATAGTGTTTTGGGTTCACCTCAAGAATACTTTTGGGTCTCTATCATCAAGAACAAGGAAATATGCAAACCGCAGTCACGTGTTTCTGGCTCATTAACTGTCATCAGTACGACATAGCCAAGTGTACGTTTAAGCAACACTTGGTTGCAGAAAACAACACTTTGTCGTGACCAAAGTAGCCTGACCAAAACCACTAAGTGTGGCTGTTGATGACTCCATGCAATTGTGTTGTTTTCTGCAACCAAGTGCCTAATCTCACACTTGGCTATTCCGTACTGATAACAGCTGATGAGACAGGAACACGTGTCAACATGTTTTCACATTTCGTATTTTTCGGAGTGCTTCGTCCATGATTTTTTCCTGCATTCAATCATTTTGAATTCACTCACTGAATTATGATTAATATATACTGGAATATTTATTGTTAATATTTATATTTTATTATACAATCAAATAATTTATGTCTTCATTTCAGGATGGCAAAACTGGAGTGAATGGTCTTCATGCAGCGTTTCTTGTTCTTTAGGTATCCAGCAGAGAGTACGTCACTGCCGTGTGAGCAAGTGCCCAGGTTTCAATGTGGAACAACGTCACTGCAACTTATTTGGGTAAAATTCTCCAACTTTCATTATTTATTTGTTCAGAATTTAGCCGTAACCATTTTAGAAGTCACAGTTTACAGTACACGTCACATCGAGTTTCCATAAACAAATAAATATCTCCTATGAACATTTCAGATGCCAATGCCCTGAATATTTTTAAAATATGTTCCTAATGTACAGGGTGACCAGTATCAATGTTAGGTCCCTATTTTCAATGGAAACTCATTTGAAGAATTTTCTTTGATATGAAGATGTTCCAAAAATATAGCCTATCCAGTATTGAATAACAACTAGATCACAATATTTTTTCATACTGGCTGAAACGAAACTGAAAAACAATTTTGCATGTTCCTCGATTTCAACTATAGTCATATAGCTGGCTTCTCGGCAGTATGGAAAAAAAATTGAAATTGTTTCAGGCGACTCGATTTTGAGAACGTAAAGATTGTTATTTGACACAAAAAATCATGAATATTATTGAAAATCCTCATAGGAATATAGTTTTCAAAAAAAACATACAGTGTTAACTTCGTTTGTTCTCGACCAATGAGAACAAAAAAATTTGAGGGCCTAGTTTTCCTATAAATTACAACGCGGAATTTATAAAAAATTACAAAACAATTCGACAAGAAAGTAAATGAGAAAACTAATATTTCCAAATATTGGATTTCTCAGTTTCTCAGTCAAATGACTTCTCAACAACGGAAAAACTCAAATTCTTTTTCCTGAGAAAAATGGGCTTGCCCAAAAACTGTTTCATGGTACACAAACTCGAAACGCTATATACTTACTCCTGCAACTCCATATTTTGAAAAATCGCTTCACACAGAAAAATCTAATGAAAATGAAATATAAGGCGTTCGATTCAGAAAAATCGAAAGAATAAACATTATTCAAGTGTTGAATCAGAAGAAAATCTTTTGGTCGAATTTTCATTTTGTAATGAAAAAACTGCATGTTTCAAATATCTCAATAACATAACCAGTCTTTTCGAATGAATTTTCATTTAAAATGAAGACAGATGAATATATTCATTTTTCAATTTCATTTTCGAAGTGACTTTTGAACTGCTTGGTATTTAGCCGTAAGACACAAATATTATCCGTATTTGCTACTGAAGAACCGATAAGGCAAGCGTCTTACGGCGAAATACCTGATGTTTAGCAGTGAGGATGACAGTGTTCCATGTAAGTGAAATGCCACTTCTTTCATTAATTATATTGTGTAGAAATCCGGTGAATCATATCTGATTTTGATTCCATTTCGAGAGGGCTTTTTCTTACATTGTGTGTCTGAAAGTTATTTCTTTGAATGATCTACACATCTTTGTATAGAGGTAATCTTTTTGAAATTGATTCCTTCCTTCCTTTGGAAGATTCCCACATTTTTTGTATCAAGACGTAAAAGTAGACGACAAATACTTTCTTTGTACAATTTATGTTAGAAATAAAGGCGATATCTGTCTACCAGTTAGTGTGATGATCGAAGTTGAAAAGGAATATTTTATCATCTCCAATACTTTGGAAAATATATTCTCCAGATATATTATCCACAAGAGATGGTAAATAGAGTTTCAGCAAATAATCTGATAGGAAGTTTCGAAATGATTCCACAATTCTTATGGAACAAAACCGGCTTTATCTCATTCTGAACAATTTCGACAGAATTGTAACAAAAATAGCCCCATTACACCAGATGAGAAATTTGATCTTTCAGTCACGAATAAGTAATGAAAGAAAAGATATAACAAAGGCGCCTACTCTGAGATAATACAGTTCGGCTTTCTTGAGCAATCAATCAAAATGTGAACAAAAGTATCGACATGCTATAAATGGAATATCATTTCAAGCTAATGACAAGCATCGAGCCACTTCTGTTTGTGCTTCGGAAACATGATTCATCAATTCGTGATGTTGTTCCAAGATAAAAGGAAAGAGTTCGACTAGGGAGTTGTGGAAAAAAAGGATTTTGGAGAAACCATTTTTCTTATTATGTTGTCCTTGAACAGGTATATTTTTGGTCATGCAATTGCTGCAGTTAACTTACGAATTTTTATCAGCTTTTCTTGGGATATTATGCACAAAAATACTAATTCACGTAACAAGTCCGAAAATATTGCTTTTTTGGGCTAGTAGACGAAATTCTACTGCGAGTCCAAAGAACTGTTTTCGGACGTGTTGCATACACAACTTTACGGCAATTCTGTATAATGAAAAATCAGTGAGACACACTCTCATTTGTAATAAATATTGAAAATCGAACAGAAGATAGGTACTACGGAAACATTTCAATTCTCATTTATATTATATAAAAATTCAAGTAATTGCTAATTTTGAAGAGATTCAATTTGCTTCAGTTGCTTGGTATATTTAAATGCCTTTTTCTGAATTCGAAACAAGAAAGTAAAGTTTCCATTTCACATTGATTGTTTCCATCTGATTATTTTTAAGTGGTCTTAGCTATTTCAATTTTGTTCATCAGTTGCATTGTCTATAAATCCTTTAGCGACATTGAAGGACAACCATGTCTCTCCAAATTTGCATCATTACGAGGTGATAACGCCACTTAAGTTGGACGAATGCTATGACCTGTGTAATTTTTAGAATTGGGTAAATTTGAAAATTCTGCGATTCTCAATCCGAGATTTTCAAGACTGTGGATACATAAAATAGGCTGAATCGAACTTTACTGTGGATATAAACAGGCTGAGTCGAACGTTATTTTGTAATTAATGAATAATCTAATGTGGGGTATGGGATGGCCATAAAAATTATTGCCTATAAAGCAGCAGGTTATTTTGCTCAATTACAACAACAATTTTTCTTAAAATTCATTTTGGTATCTAGTATTTTTACAAGCAACCTGTTTCCTTTGTGATTTATTGAATCAATTAACATTTTTGTTGGTTCTTCTCGTCTACACGGAACGGCTAACCCAATAATTATTGCAACCTGAAAATAAAGCAAATTGAGTTGATACTTTTATATCCTACAATCGTAATATTTTGTTAAATTACCTTTAGCTTTGAATAAGTTTCAATATTTCTTTCCCCAATTAATTTGCGGTTGCTCTATTTCTCGATATTGAAGGAGCATTTGACAATGCACTACCTAAATCTGTAGAATTGTCTCTGGCTAGGATCTATGCCATGCTGATAAACAGAACTGCAACTGCGACTCTTCAAGGCGATGCCATCAGGTTCAGGGTCACCAGAGGCTGCCCTCAAGGTGGGGTACTCTCTCCCCTTCTGTGTTGTTCGCTACTGATAATCTGCTTGATGCCCTCGACAGAAGAAAATAGATCTGCAAGCTTATATATATGATCTTGTCATCTTGGCAAGGTTTACATCGGAAAGGATAGCTTGTAATATTCTTCAGAGCATGATGGAAGTTTTTTCTAGTTGGTGCCTGAGGGAGCAGGTGACTATCAACCCCAGCAAGACTATGATAATCCCATTCACCAGGAGGAGAAAATTGGACGATGTAACGCCACTTTCCCTCTTTGGTGAGGACATTCTATTTGGAACGGAAGTGAAATATTTTGTTTTTGACCAATGATCCCTTATGGTGCAATTGCCTGATGGCCAAGGGCTCTACAGAAAAAGGCCCAGGCGAAGCTCTCTGGCATATAGAGACAGTATTGTCTGGCCATCAGTGGTGCCTTCAGTACCACACCGTCACTGGCCATGGATATCCTTCTAGACAGCAGAATCTTCCAGGATTGGCTGACTCCATGGCATTTATTCACCCTTCAAAGACCACTCACCATTCAATCTAATCGACTGGGTTAGGAAGCTGAGTTTATTTAGATGAGTGTGAATAGGTATGAGACACAATAAACCCTTGCGGATTGTAGATGCATCATTTATTATATTCCAGAGTTTTTTGTAGTCCCCATTTGCCTTCTTTGCCTTCTTTACTGAGATTTCAATCATATCTTGAAGTCTCGGCAAAGATAGTTGCAGATGATAATATTCAGAATAAATTTTCGTTATTTGAGAACAATATCTGCTGGTGAAAATTTTCGACATAAGTCATGAAGAAACGCGAATAACAAAATGAATATCAAATGTCTACCTACTTTTCCGAATATTCTTCACCTTCCACACATTTTCCCCGTTATATTCAGCATAACGCGTTGGGGCGCAGCGACGATAAAATTCAATTTTGCTTGTTCAACAAAAAAAGTATGATAACAAGCTTTTTCTTCGTGTTTTCAGTTGCGACGAAACCGTCAACCCTCTCGCCCTGCAGGAGAGGAAATTCTTCCACCCATCCAAGGACAGATGGCAATCGGTGCCCGATCGGCCGTCGGCGTGGCGTCTGAGGCCTAATTCCTACATTTGGGTGCCGTCAGCGCAACTATTTCGCCAGGAGAAAAACAGGCCTTTCCCGAGGGAGTTCGCCCTCTTTCTAACCATGAGGCTTCATAATGTAAGCATTTTTGAATATTGTATTTGTTAGTTTTTTTTTTCTTTCGCAATCCGAAATGAAATTTCATCTAAATAAATACTTGTGTGGTTTCAATATACAGAATATTCAGGCATACGTGGAAAAATTAAGTAATTTTTCAAATTTAGCGGCTTACGTACGTTCGATTAGCAATTTATTCATTTTTTTCATGTTGATACCCTCGTTTGAACATAATTCAGAATTACAAGGTATAAAAGTTGGAAGTGTCTGGCATTTTCGCCGATTCTCCTCTGGTATCTGTAGAGTAAGGAGGGTGAGTGTGGACTCAGAGCACTTAGTTGTTGCACTTAGGAGTTGTCCTCCTAGGTCACCGTCCATCCTGTCCTTTCCAGGAAGATGAACAGGTCACTAGGAGACATCTCCTTAATATTGGCTGATGTAGGCCAAGACTCGCCGAACACACACTCTCTTTGGCAACCTTGAGGTGTCTCACGGTGGCCTCAGCGAAGGTTTTGGAAGGTGCAGCGATATTACTGTCATTGCGCGGCTTCTTCAACCTTCTTGGGATTCCCTCTGTGTAGGTGCACAAGTGAGGAAGCTTTACTGCAGAGGCAGCCGGTTCTTTGCCTTTATTCAAGGCGGAGCTCTTGGCGTCTGCTGCTGGATGTGTCCTTGCTGTTGGAGGTGATCTACTATATCCAGCCTCATTCCAAGCGGTTGATTGGAGTGGACATTTCTGTTCGTCCCCAGCCACCACCTTGGATTGATGTGAGCATTTCTGTTCAGCCTCGGGATTGGTTATTGTTGTGTCTGTTTTGTTTGTTTCATATATGTGTGTTTCCACGAAAAGCAAGGGAAGAAATGGTCACCTCTGGCAGAGCCCCGCATTACCTGAGGTAGGCTGAATGCAATGAGGTTTCACCCAGTTCCCCAAGGGGATCGTTGGTGACCGCATATCACTCTGCGGCCATTCAGCTGTCAGCACGATTCCTTACACCTTAGCTTGGGTAGGCTGGTCAACGGTGGCATGTTTTGCAAAGGCTTCTGGGGGGTTTTAGTTCCCCTCACCCTACTTATTTCTGCCACTGACCAGGAGTCTGGTGACCCCGTCCGTAAGGCCACATTGGTTTCCCGGACAGAGCCTCCAATCTCCTGGCCGTTCTCATATCCGCCACCTGGGGACGCGCCCCATAGGTAGCCCAATCCAAGAGGTGTTCGGCGATTTTCTGCTATCGAAGAACAAATCAACAACCGATAAAAATGGTGGAAAAGTGAAGAAAATTGATGTGAAGAATCGTTGAATTACTATTAAAGATAACCTCTGGTATTCTATCTCAAAATGGATTTGCAAGGTATGAAACTCAACAATTCAATGTCACCATCGGATATTGGTGCGGTAAAACCTTCAATTAGAACATGTTTCGAACCTATATAAGTTCATCATCAGCTAATATTCAAACTTCTACAATAAAAGGTGAAAAATGTACCTATATTTCAACTGGTGAATTCGAAACGTCATAAATTTAATGTTTCAATATATTTACAAATATATAATAAGTTAATATTTGAAGATGTTAGGCCTTAGGTACGGAAGACCTCTTTTGAAAAATGGATTATTCAGTTTTTTGTAAAATAACTCATATACAGGGTGTTAATTAAGTATGTACCATAAATTCAACAGACGATTCTTTAGGTTGTCTTCGTTCTCAAGATACAGGGATAAAAATGAAAAAAAGTTATTCGTAAATATCTTGAATATCCTTTACCTAATTTTGTTGTAATTCGACAATGGTATTTATAACATTGAGGAGCTGATTAGCTCGAACGTGATTCAATTTATTAAGTCCAGTGGCGTCTCGAGCGGGATTTGAACGAATATTTTTGACTTAAAAATGTACGCCACTGACTTTTGTGCATCTTTGAATAAGTTTCAATATTTCTTTCCCCAATTAATTTGCGGTTGCTCTATTTCTCGATATTGAAGGAGCATTTGACAATGTACTACCTAAATCTGTAGAACTAATCGACTGGGTTAGGAAGCTGAGTTTATTTGGACGAGTGTGAATAGGTATGAGACACAATAAACCCTTGCGGATTGCGGTGAAGGGTCGAATAAACCCACTCACTTTGGACCTTACCTAACCTAACCCCAATCAATTTGTTGATCTGCCCGCTGTTGAAAATTTCTTCAAAAAATGCGATAAATTTTAAGATAGTGGCTATGTTTTCCTTCTTCTTCAACATGAAGTATATGCTCCTGTTTTAAAAATAGGGGTTACGACATATTCTTTCCATTGTAGTGGTATTATAGATGTTTCAAAACATGTTATATACTGTAGAAGTGTTGTAATATGGTTGTGTATATATGTTTAATAGTTTTGGCTGTGATTTTATCATTTTCAGGAAAGCTGTTATTTTTCAATTTTGATATTATCATGAATATTTCATTTATTGTTACTGGTTGTGAGTATATTTAATGAGTAATTTTTTTCGAATTTTGAAAAATTTGGTGATAAAGTTGTTTGAGCTATTTTGTTTGACATTTTGTATCCGTATTCTGTGAAAAATGTATTAAATTTGTTTGCTTTGGTCTCATTTTCTTTTATGTGCATATTTTGGTCATCAACAATTATTGTATTTTCAATGTGCTTATTTTTTTTGTTTTTTCCAAGATGCATCATTTATTATATTCCAGAGTTTTTTGTAGTCCCCATTTGCCTTCTTTGCCTAGGTTCAAAGTTCGTTAACTTCAAGTCTGACAAATGGTTAGGTTAACGGAAATGCATAAAACAATAACTAAGAAAAGAGAAATGGAACTTTCTATATTTTTAACCACTTTTATTTGTAACTTACGTTACTGCAGTTTCGTCCTATACAGACATTTTCAAACTCATAGGACGTATAGGACGAAATTGCAGTAACGTTAGTGACAAATAAAATTGGTAAAAAACATAGAAAGTTTCATTCCTCTTTTCTTCATCATGATTTCCTACCACGTAGTAACGGCTACATCCATCAATTCATAATTTCAAAGGAGAAAATGTACAAAGTTCTTATCAATCTATAAGTTTCCCCGTATTTTAGTAATTCATTTGAAAATATTCTCTCCCACGGGATTCAGAGGCAAATTGAATGTTTCCATTGACTTTTCTTCAGATGGATTAGATATGAGCAGTTATGCAGCAGACAATGTGGCTCCTTGTCGTTATAATCTATATGCACTTTCACAGTGAGACTGCTTACAACGGACACTACACAGCATATTGCAGACACCCATATAGTGGCACGTGGCATGAATACAACGATTCACACGTGTTTCCAATTACGCCAAAATCACTTGTGAGCGATGAGGCATATGTCCTTTTTTATGAACAGGAGGGAACGAATCTTTCAAATAAAATAATATTATCGCTTGAAAACGATAATATTTTTGAATAGAGAATGAAGAGACCTTTCGAATGACAAACCTATACCTGTCATTCGAAGGGGATTGAAGGTAAGGGTGGCATTTTAACGTTGAAAAATGTCAAATTATATGAAGAGAACATGAGAACCAAAACCAAAAAAAAAGAAGAATTCGATGAAAATTCACCGTTTGCGCCGCCTTCGAGAAGTAATACGAAGAAAACGTCTAGTCACTCACTCGTCATTGCTTGTCCGTAATTTTTCTGCCAAAAACAGCACTGTAGTCATGTCTCAGCCACGGTATTCCCCTGATTGTACCCCCTGGACTTCCTTTTGTTTCATGGCGTTCGTAGACCCGATGCAAACGGGTTGTTGAGGGTTGGTTATCATTCTTTGGTTCAAACCAACAAACATTGCAATTCAGGAGGAAACCCATGGTACGTTTTTGAAAGGCTCAGAAAACTTTCCATTGCAAAAGTCAAAATGGAGCTTTTTTCAACCGGTTAGTGCCTGGAACTCGATTAATTTCAAGGCGGCTCGACTGAAAGTATGAAACCTTCGTCTAAGAGAAAGATTGTTAATTAGTAATAGCTCCATCTTGTGAATAAACGCCCAAGCGGGGCAGGAACATCCCATGTACCAAAACTTAATTAGAGATCAAAAAGCGTCTGAAGACTATCCAATTGAAACACTGCAGAAAATTTTTGTGATATTCTCTTAGGAGTTGTTCACTGTATCCTGAACAAAATTTAAGTTGAGAGAATTTGAAGTTGAAGTGAAGCTATAATTCATTACAGAGGCAATGCACAAGTACCTATATATAATTTCATGAGAGAGCACAAAAATTACGAAATTTTAGTTCACGTTAAAGAAGGGTGACCATATAATGTTGTAGAATATCCCCTGACATTAATAACGCCGATCGTCGCTGGTCTTTATCCATCGATTGTGACTTGGCCAAGGTCGCACTCAACTCGACTTGCCCTTCTCGATCGCTACAGATGTCGCGTCGCTTCGAGACACTTCCAGAGACTTTTCTAGCGGCTTCCAGAAACTTCCATAATGATATATAAACACTAACAACAGGCAGATGCGAAGTCAAGTTGAAAGTGCGGTACGGAGTGATCTGATAGGGCAGGAAACATGTGAGTATCAGTCTGAAGTTTCAGTTAAAGTTTTTTTGTGTTGTATTGTCAATGTAGCAGTGAAATGAAGTTGGGTAAAATTGGATAGTATAGTCAATTATTGTCAAATTGGCCGTATCAGTCACTCCGTACCGTAACTATGTATGAAATAATGCTGCATTCAATGGTGGTTCGTAACACCATACCTGTTTGGCTCGTTACGAAACATACGAAAATACTGGTCTTCGTGCATAACCATAAATATTATGATACTAAGGCTAAAAATCAACAAACGGTGGTTTGGCCGTTGGAAATAGACAACACATCCATTTATTCAAAACATTTCCCCTGGGAGTAAGCACTCTTTCTCATCATGAGACTGCCGTAGCCATTTTCATAGTTACATTTTCTTGAAAGTTATTCATGGTACGCTAAACTGAATTTAACTCAAAGTTATCTCAACGAGTTGAAGTAATTTTTTAAGGCTGAAGTGAAACTGTAATTCATTTCAGTGTCGTGGAA